CGTCTTTCAGTGTCTCTCCGGGAAGGGGTGAGGGAAGAGCAAGAATTGTACCAACAAGCTGCCCTGAAGTTCAGAGGAGCCACGAACTTGCAAAGCGCAGCTGGAGAGTACGGCAACGCGGTCACCAACAGGCCATCCTGAACCGAGCAGCAGCTCAGCCCCGACGACCAGCTCGTCTGTACCTTAAGGCTCTTTCTGAGTTTTTCTAGCTTGCTTTACCCCTGCTGCTGAGTTAAAAACTCAGCTGAAGTCATTTTCCGTACAAGCAAGGGTCAAAACCTGCAGGTACCTTAACAAGGTAGATTTTTAGGGCAGTAACAGGGTTTTGACTCGTGGAACATGTAACAGACATTGTTTCCAGCAGCTCCTGCTGCCACCTCCCACCGAGCACATCTGGCAGCCACGATGAGAAACTGCCCACACCAAGTGCAGCGACGGGTTCAGATTTGAGGACAGAGTAAAGTTCGCTCTGGATACTGAGCTATCCAGGACACACGGCACCACCCCTCCTTTTGCCAGGGGAATTGTTCCCTGGTGCAAAGAGATAGCTGCACAGACCGCAAATAATGTGTACGGGCTACAAACCAGGAGGTTAGAGCACCCCTCCTACCTCCAGGCACCAAGGCTTCTCGTAGCAACGTCTCCCTCTTTTTTCCAAGTCATTACTGGCTGTTCACGTGCCAGTAAAGGGCTACACAAGCTCCAACCTCTGTCGAAGCACCACCTTCCCCTTGCAGGCGGTGAATTTAAAGCCAGGGGCAGGCCTGCCTAGGCTCAGAGCGGGCACTCTGATCATACTCACTTCAACTTCAGTTCCGTACGAGTACCCAAATCTGAGGAGAGCTGCTGAATGAGAGAGAGCAGCACAGGCTGGGACAGCGGGCAGGGATGCTGTCCGAATACTTGCTGGGTATCCACGGTCTCACAGACATACAGGACCAGGTTGAGATCAGCTGCTGTTAGAGCCTGCAAGGAAGACACAGTCAGAAATGAAGAGGAAACAAAGGGGCAGGTGAGGGGCACAGCAGAGCACGAGGCAGCCCTCTGTCTCGGGGCAGCTCAGTGGCTCGCCACCTCCAACCAGAGTTGGGATTCCCTGAAAACCCTGCTGTCCATGTAAGCAGGACCTTGTTTAGGCTTCAGTCTACACTCAGGGGATGAGCATGTCTGTTCTAAGCAGCACAGACCGCAGCCAGAGAGAGGGGAGCAGGTTACAGTCAGCACAGAGCCAGCCCACTGGCACAGCATCACTGTTATTTCCAGAGGAGTTTATCAGCTGCAGCTCAAATGGATCTGCCTACATATCCAAAGGCACAGGCAAGGTCAGGCCCCAGCTGGTAGGTCTGCCCAGAGAGGCTTACGAAGCTGCTGTTCTTCAGGGGTGTGCCACGGCCGATGGCAAAACACTCCAGCTTACCGTAGTGCTGACGCCATCCTGACAGCGCAGGGAGGAACTGAACCGCCCTGGAACTTGGAACTTGCATGGCTCTGGCTTGACGTGCACAAGAGTGCAACTGCAGCCCTCGAGCAGTCCACTGCCACAGGTCTTTCCAGCCAAGTCCTGTGTAAATTGCTGTGGGTCCCCACCCCAAGGAGGCCTTTTCCCCCACGAGCAGCGATGCCCACTGCCAGGAAGCCTAGGTACCTGCTGGAAAGCTTGGTTGAGGTGTCCCTGCTGAAGCAGCTGAAGGATGTGAGTTTGCTGAGACTGGAAATCCAAGTGAGCAGCGGGGATGGGAGTCCCGGCTGCCGAGCGCATTGCCTGGACGATGCTCGAGGTGACAGCGGCCTGCTGCTCCTTCATGGCCAGGCTCACTTCTCCTTTAATGACTCTCTGCACCTGCGCCAAAATCGACTCCTGCATGCTAAAAAGATAAACAAAACCCAAAGGCATCTCTGAAAACAAAGAACTGAGGGACAACACTGCACAAAGCTTGTACCAGTGAGAAAGCACTTGCTCAGCGTAGCGTGGCTCCCAAGGGTTAATACAAATGGCTCTGAGGCACAGGCATCGGAAACAGGGTGCACAAGGGAGCTCTGCGGCCAGCAACACCATGTCCCAGGGTGCATGTGGAAGATGCTGGCATTCTTTCCGGGGAAGAGATGTTTCAGGGAACTAGAGCTCTCTCATACAGCGCTGTAAATCTTTAATGCCTCTGGCTTACAAGCAAGGCTCATCCCTGAACGGGCCCAGCTTTCTACACCACATGGGTCAGAGGCAGTTTCCCCGCCTGCAGATGCGTCTTTAGAGCGAGAACACACTTGTGCCGGGCCTGTGACCTCTCCACACAAGACCAGGTCACAGCGCAGGCTCCACTCTGCGTGTTAGATCCAAGAGGTGGGATCTGCCCTGCTCACAAAGGGTAGAAAGCATCGAACCTGCGCTGGGAGCAAGCACAGCCCGTGCAATGAGAGGACTTGGTTTGTAGCCTTCCTGGCAAGGCTGGTCTGCACTGAAGACCCCAGCGCGCTCTGACATATGCTATAGTGGTTAAAAAATAGGCATTCTGCCCCGCAGGTGGCCACCGGCCAGCCCCAACGTCTGGCAACCCGCCACCAGGTCCACGGTGTGAAGGCACTGGTGGGATCACGTCCTGAAACCAGGATGGCCAAGCACCAAGGGTGCAGAGCAGTTGGGAGGCCAGAGCAGCCGACAGAAACTGTTGGCTTGCCTGAGGACACAGAGTTGAGAAGAAAAGCCCTCAGAAGACCAGAAGACTGTTTCAGACCAGGAAGGCTGGTCAGAATTGAGAGTAATTTTGGGCTGCCCTAAGTCCTTCTGCCTCCCAGCACGCACGTGCGACATTGAAAAGCAGGCCCTGAGCACACACACGCAGCAGCAACACAGCTGGTTGTCGGAGACCTTCTGTGGGCTTCGTTTTGTGCCTGACGGGGCAGGTTACACCAGCCCACACACTCTGTCACGCTGTGCAGAGGGCCGACGCGCAGCCCTACGGTGACAAACGGCTGCTTTCCACGGCTCAGCAGAGATCTGTGTTACACACGTGCATACCTCCCACTGACACCTCTTTCCATGAGCCCAGCCGCCAACTTACTTGCCCACGATAATATGCAGCTGATGCTGCACCTCGGCGTGGACGCTGGCTGCGACAGTGGAAGCCAGCTGCTCGGTGGCGCTCTGGAAGGTGCTGATGAGCTGTCGAAGCTGATTCAGCAGCAGGTCCCGGGCCTCCTGTTCTCGTACTTTCTTGTTCTTCAAGTGAGTCTCAAGCTGCTGGACGTCTGCAACAGCCAGAGAGAGAAACGTTTGTACCAGCGGTACGTGTGGAGGTGGGCAGGGCAGAAATCCAGCTGCCAGGCTCCACACCTTCTCCAGAAGAAACAACTACCAAGGCAGTGCACAAGCGTGGGAGAGAGGGGAGGACACACAGCCTTGCTTTAGGCTGTGTTACGCTAACCTAGAAACCCTGCTTCCAGCCTCCCCATCACGCATGATTACATGAGGCAGCAACAAAAAGCCACGAGCTCTCTTGTGACAGACCTTTACAGGCACTGTTTGTTCAGGATGAGGTAAAGGTGGGAGCGAGGGTAATTTGTTTCATACACAGTTGTGATCTGCATTAGCGATGGAGTTCAATGGCAGTGAAGAAACAAGAACACTTCTGACCAAAACCAAAAGTCATGTCTGCAGAGATGAAAAAGCTGTATCTTAAAATATTTTATGAACTGTTCTGATCAAAAGGGGGAAGAATATAAACTCCATTTACTTGTGGGAGAGTTGTGAGGAAAAGGAAGGGTGCAAAACGAACAGCAGCTGGAGATGCTCTGCAGACCTATGGACAAGAGTAGCTTCTGGGCTAGCACTAGCTAACTTCAGGCCTCCGCAGAAACCAGCTCTGCAGAGCAATACCTGCCTGGCCTCCCAGGAAGGCCAAGGAACTGAATCCCAAGCCTGAGAACAGGAAAGATCTCCAGGGCATCAGCGTACAATTTTCCTTACTAAAGAGCATAGTTTTCTTTTCTCCAGCCTAACCATGTCTACACTGTTCAGTCACTATTTAACCTCTGATCATGCCCGTATCCTTCTCTAAACCTTCCCCAATCCATTACCCCTCTGAGATGAGGCCTAGCTGCAGGAGTGCTACCCCTCCCATCCCTCACCTTTCTGATGTCAGGCTGGCATAATCCTACAGCTGGGCTTTACTACAC